AAAGCAGTTTCAAGACAAGCTTGATAAATTTATGAACTGAGATATATGCTGCATTTGCCTCAGTTACTGAAGGACTGGACTTTATGATCTAAAAGTCCTCTTCCAGTCTTCTGTTACTATATCATTTCATTCTGGATTAGCTTCTTTTGCTGTCTCTTTATAACCAGGTTCATGCTTTTCAATCTGATTTGAGAAGTGGATATTTCTCTAAGATTGCCTTACTAAAACTATTCACCCTGCTGCTCACTTGAGTGCCACACTGCTCATCTGTCTTGGCTTTGCTGGCCTCACATAAAGTGTCAGGATAAAATCTGTCACATGGGAAGGAGATTTGCTGTCACCTGCTAATTCAATTCAGAAATTACATAATACACTTTTGATAGATGGAGACTTCCTGCACCAGCCAGTTGTCTCCTGCCCCTCCCAACCTGTTGGTTCTAAAGATGTTCCAGCAAAGCTTCGTTTTTGTTTTTTTTTATCACTACTCTGGTTCAGCCCTCTAATCCCACATTTAATTGCCTTCCTATTACAGATAATACAGAGAATTTACATTTCCACTAATGAGCACCACTTTTGTTCTTGCTCTCAGTCGGTTGTATTTCTTGCTTTCTGTTCACTAACTCTTAAACAAGAATTAAATGAGCTCTATTGGCCAGTAATCCAGGGCAGGTCTTTCTATACTAAAGTTCATTTTTTTTCTACTATCATTGGTGTTACCTGTAAATTAAAAACATAGTAATAACTTTTCCATGTTGCCTTCCAGTTAAGAGCCAGTTTCCATCTACATAAAGCTCAGTGTTCTCTGAGTTTATTTCCTTCATGTCCTCTCCTTTCTGTCTCCATTTCTACTCCTGATAACCATCAGTGTAGGCAGTCGCTGACATTTAAGTTAATCCTAAACATTATGATTTCATCAGACTGAGCACAACTGGCTCTTTAACTATTACTGACCTGCTGCTCTTAAATAAAGGTCTCCTCTTCTCTGCAAAGGGTTAACCAACACTTTTCCTCGAGGCAAGGGGTGTTGATTATATTAATTTTAAGGTGCCTTTATTCCCTCTGTAAGGACAGTCAATTTATGCCATTCATTTGGTGACAGCTGCATTCTTGGACTTCAAATCTTCTTTACCTCCCACCCTGCTAAGCAATTCTTCAGATTCTTATATCCATCCTTTTTAATCTGCTGGAGGGTGAAATTTAATTTGTTCCAAAGAGCAGTCTATAGATTTCAGAGCCCACATGGGCCAAGCTGTCTTTTGAAGATGAAAGCCAAAAGATACCCACAGCACCTCGGGGTAATGAAAATACAGGTGATGCTTTTTTAATACCAAGCTGACTTCCCTCAGGGATTAATGATGGAGAACAAAAAATCTTGACATGAATGCCCCCTGCTACAGAACCAGACTGGAAGAAAGTGTAAGATCAGAGATCAGAGCTGTTGCTTGGATGGCAAGCTTGAGCCAAACAATCTCCTCATGTCTATAAAGGGATATGAAAAAGGCAAACGAAAATTACAAAAACAAACACGTCTTCTGTTTCCCTCCCTCAGGGAGTGAAAGAAAAATAATATAACAAACAAGAAGGCATTTTCCACAAATAATATTTTGGTGTGAGTGAAGCTCACTCTCAGCTTTAGGCCAGTAGAGCACTAAACTAACATACCATGAGAAATAAGATCCTGGGACCACAGATCAGGGAGTTGTATGAACTCTGAGCAACCTCCATGCACATCCTGGAAATAAAGATACTGTAGCACTAGCCTCAATAAAGAAAACTCCCAGTGCTGATCAAACTGTCAGAAAAGCACACATTCATACAAAAAAAAATTGGAAATAACAAACATTCAGCAAATAAAAGACAGAAAAACCCCATTGATCTGTGGGGCAGCTCAGTGACCTGAGCCCCCTCAAGAGTGGTGACTCTTATGTGTCTTATGGGCAGACACTGTTCCCTTACAGTATGAACACGCTTAAACTGTGAATAAAGAAAAATAAATAAGTGAAGAGTTAGAGGGAGAGGAAAATCAAAGTTTCATTGTTAATTACACAGCACAATGATAAGGGTGATTTTTCTTAAATCAAAAAAATAAACTCTAGGTTCAAGTTCCCTGAAGGATATAAGATATTAGAGGGTTTTTTATGGTAGTAGTCACAAACTCATTTCTCCAGCCTCTACTGGCCGTGTCTAATTAGGGCAAAGTACGTTAATGATACAAAGGCACAGCCCAGAGATGTCTTCAGTTGCAATATTAATTGCATTTAGGGAAAGAGGCATGAATTGTGCTTATACAAGCTAATTAGTATGGGTTTGCTAATTAATACTGGAAAGTCAAACTGCCTTTCTCTTGTCAACTGCAATTAACTGAAGACATTTAAATTTCCTTTTTTGTTGTTCCGTCAGTAGCACGCTCACTTTGAGTTGACAAGCATAGAATCCCTGCACTGGAGCAGTCACAACAGCCATCCCATTCCTCTGGCATCCCATTTTCCTCTAGCAGGACCTCGTGCTCTGGCCTGGCACAGGGCTCCCTATCCCACACACCACCCTTCATCTGCCATCTGTGTCCCTGGGGACACAATTCCCTCAGCTTGTCCTCGGAGGAGACCTGGATGTGCAGACTTATCCCACAAGTTTGTACTTTAAAATATTGCTGTGTAAAGAATGACTCTTTCACCAGGGCACCAGAGATGCCCCCACTGATAGAAAGAAGTCCTTGGTTCTCCTCAGTGAGGTGCCATGAGCCAGAGCCCAGCTCTTCATTTCCAGTGCCCCAGGGAAGGTGGCAGAGCCATCTGAGCTCTTCAGGGTGGCAGCAGAGATGTCACCTGCACAGAGGTTTGTCCCAGAAGCAGCCCAAAGGACTCAGACTGCATGAGAGCACCTGACAGGTGTTTGCTCCATTTCACTTAGAGCCACAGGGCTGTTTTTTCATCAGAAGAGCTGATGAAAGGCAATATCCACATCTGTCAGCACCCAGAGCAGGACAAGTCCTTCAGCATTCCCAGCTCAACATCAAACTGAGACTGGAGGCTCACAGGTGAAAGGGATGAAAAGGAAGGAGAGAGGCCAGCAATCCAAACTAGGCAAATAATTCTGCTGAAGTGTCAAATTTAAAGGAGTCTGGAAATCAGGTAATCCAGGTGAGACAACACTGATCTGGAGAGTGGGAAAAAAACATCTAAAGAGCATTTTGCTGGATGAGAGTGGGGCTGGTGGAATATCCACAGGAGCCTGTGGCAGGCAGCTATGGAACAACCCCATCCAAAGGGGACAGACCCCAGTCACCATCAACACTGCAGAAGACACAAAGTGACAACAACTTTCCCTACCAGAGAGCTTTTGATGGGGGATGCAGAAGAAGCATATACCACCCAGGGAAAAAAAGGAGCTATACTGTCAGATTTTCCATCAAAAGGGGAAAAGATGGGGAAAAAACCCTCTTTTCTTCTGTATGAATCAATTCTTCTGTATTTACTGAATAAATTCAAGCTGCTGAATAAAGCCCACACCTCACAATCTGCAATCCATGGTCTAAAGCACCACAGAAAACAGCTTGTCCATGGGAGGTTGATGTAAGAGTTACTGGAAGATCACAAGACCAGCAGTTTTCCACTGAGAAGCCCTTGGGAACAGGCACTGAACACTGGCTCTTCCTTTATCCTCTGCTGATGGATGATGCACAACACCAATTAATGCTTTAACACTCCAAGTTGCAGCTTCTCCAGCCCTCTGCCAGCCCACTTAATACTACAAATATTTGAAGGCAAACAACTTAAAAACCAGGCTTAATGAGCCCAAAAGAAAAACTTTGAATTGTTTAAAAAAAACCCAGAACATCAGAACATTTAAAACATAACAGCAAGTTTTTCCTGTGATGCATCCAGTGAGCACAACGCAAAATTGATTGTATAGAATGTGAAACTGTTAAAAGGCAGCACATAATGAGATCAGATGGTAAATAGGATTAATTCAGTTCTTTGGAAGTATCAGCTGTGGCCTGTGTCACCACAGAAAGCAGCTGGGCATATAAAAATGTTTGCCCACAACGTGAGACCACCCCAGAACCAGAATCAATTAACGCTCTCATGATGGAAAATCTGATGTTGAAGCAGCAAGAGGCACAAATTTTAAAAATAAACCCTAACAGACGTATGGCAACCCATTAATAGCACAGTAGGGGCACCTCATCCTGCCCTTCAGTGCCCTGCCAGAGTTCAGCACAAGTCTAAAAAGATCTGTGTTGGCACTCTAGTTTATTATTTGGATTTTAGAACAGATGTCTCTTTAGTACCTACTTACTAGCCAATGCTGCAGGCCTGTTTTTATATTAGTAATAAAATTAATCACATCTACAGAATGAGTCCCTGCATCTTGGATACTGCTCAGGTTTTCCTTGTGACTAGAAAAAGTTGCAGGAATACCACAGTTCATCCATTACTAAAAACATCAGTTCACAAAATGGCTTAACACTGACACCTCATTTATTCCTGAGTATAAAAAATCATATTCAAGTCATGAAACTGCACATAAACCTCCCTGCTACCTGGTTTTGTGTCCTTTTATTATTTTTGGTCCTTGAGGGAAGTGCCAATAAAATGGACGAAGCCAGCAGAAAATTAACAGATATTATAAAAATATAGTTTGTGGTAATTCTCTTGTATCTCATCTGCCTGTCCTTTGAACACTTGAGACTGAATCAAAGGCCCCTAAAGAAAGGAGTTAATTCAGTATGAAATTAAATGCTTGCTTCTGATCTAGAACTGCTAAGGACAAAAGGAATTGCCATAAAAAAGGAAGACAGACCACTAGATCTCATCCAACACTTTTTCCAGGTGAGTATGGAGACAGGGAGTGCCAAGACACAACTTCTGCAATGTTTATTTGCTGTTCATTTCTGAATATTTGGAACTGATCCACTGTTTAAATGAACTGACCTTTGCATATTACTGCTCTATAAAACAACCAGGGGAAAGAAAAAAAGGCAGAAATTGAACACTTACCATCTCTGCTCTTTGCTTGTGGTTTCCCACTTCTTCCAGAACCTGAGACAGCTGAGCCTTCAAGACACAGAAAAAAAAAATTAAGTCTAGGATACAATTTTGGAAGTTTAATAAGACTCTTGGCCCCTTCCCTGACCCCATCCCCCCAAAAAATCACATATGGCACCATGATTTTCATGACATTGAGAAGGAATTATAAGTGTTTTGTTCTGTCCTGTCAGCATCCCATGCCATGAGATTGTCCTGTCCCAGAGAGCCTGAAGTCTGCATGCACAAGAAAAACCAGGTTTATTGCAGAGAATGCCACTAGATGAGCAAGTCCAAATTTCAATCCCATGGTCCAGCCAGAACCATGCCTCCACTCCATTTCTGTGAAGCTGCAGAAGGAGTGGTCTAAAACCCACCCAAAGGGAAGTTCTTAACTTTGAAGAAGAGGAGGTTTAGCTCCATAGCTCCTGAAAGGAGTGAGTGTTCCAAGCTAACTTCACAGAAAAATTTCTGTTGAATTTCTGAGGTCCAGGGTTGGGTTTGGAAGCCTTCCAAAATGCTTTGGTAAAACATCAAGAAAATCTGTTCTGTAACATAAATCTCCTGAATTTCTGTGAGAAAAGATCCCAGTGCAGCATTTTTTCTTTTTTAAAGGGAAATTTGAAATGTAAAGAATCTCAAACTGGAGTAGAAATACCTTTGGTTATCCTGGCATAATCTGTGGGGAAACAGGAACTTGACTCAGAAAAGGATCTTTTACAGACTTTTGTTCATGAAAAAGGATTTAAACCAAATGGGTATTTAGGAGATGGTTAAGAGAAGTCACACATAATACATGAGTGTTATTACTTCCCATAGCCTTGATTTTCTATCACTCTGCTAGGCTGCAATCAGCCTTTCTCTGCTTAGCAGAAAGCCCAAAAAATAGTCACTGATGACAGAAAAGATAATTTAAACAATGTAAACAAATAAAAGAAATAAAAACAACTTTCCTACAAACTGATTTGTGTCATTTCCAGCAAATATTCATTAAAACCCTCTGGAGTCTCTCAACTTCTCACCACATGAAATGAGTCTTTTGAGTGCCACATCCAAACCAGAGACAAACAGCAAGCAGTTTATTACAATGAAAAGCAAAGCATTCAGCTTTGGAGGCTAACTGCACTAAGTGTAAGCAAACAAATAAATAAAAAAATACAGTCTAAGTGTTCAGCACAGCAGAAGTTCCATTTTGCAAACAAACAAGCAAACAGTTCAAAATTCCCCTGGCCCAAGGGAACTGGCTGGCCCCAGCTCAGTGGAAACTGAAAAAGTTTCAGCTTCTTACTGTGCAGGGCTGGGGATGATGTGACATTATTTAAGGAAGAGACACTGAAAGAAGATGAAAAGGGTTTTAATACAAGCCTGGAACCTGGCACAGGAGAATGAGTGAAACACACTCATTAAACACTGCAGGAGATGCCAGCCCCAACCAAAACTGGAGTGCCTGGACAAGCAAGTGAGGAGAAAAAGTGAAATGATCACCAAGTTTGATGTGGAAACATCAGGGAACTGTAAATTTGCAGACACTTGGGAAAGACTTTGCCTGCTGCTACTGAAGCAGGTACAGTGACAGCTGCAGGCTGGAGCCAGGAGTTGCTTGGGGAAGAATTAGAGAACATGACCTGAGAGAGGTTATTTAGGAGAGGTACTGGTATAAACTCTGCAAAACACCCCAAGACTGACTGAAGAGTTTTGGTTACAGACTACCCCAACTGTTCTGTGTATTTATTAGCTTTCTCTATATGAAGATGACCTTTAGATGGGAACCACTAGCCTATTCTAAACCAGATATAAGAATTACTTAATTAAAAATTACATTAAAAATCATGTATTTTCTTACAGTAGCCATCAGTCCTGAATTTGAGGGTCAAGTCTCTGTTCAGCCTCCTTTTCACACAGACTCTGGAATCTCAGAGTAACCCACACTGGAAGAGTGGGAATCCCCTCAAAGCTCAATCCCCTGTGGTTTTGGTGGGCACCTGGCACCCAGCCTGGATCAACCCATCACACTGGGCCAAGCTTTGGTCACCCTCACACTGTAAATATTTATTGGATATATAAATAAATATTTATAAATAAATATATATTTACAACACTAAGGCAATCCTAGGAGCCTGTTTAACCAGATGAGTATAAGAGCATTTTATGGAGGTTATTATATTTTAAAAGTCAGAAGAAAGGGACAGCAAAGACTCCAACACATTTTACTTCAGGAAAAAGCTGGAAAAAAACATTTTAGGCAAGAGAGAAATAGTACAAAGGGATGAGAAGAATTGAAAATACAAGCAGGAAATATGCCATAATTTATCTAAGATTTGATATGGCTTGGGGAAAATAACCATTTCAAGGTGCTATGCCAACAGAGGCACACAGAGAAACCTGGACAGCAAGTCTAAGCCAGCAGCATAACAACAGCAGATCAATATGATTTGGAGAAGCAATCAGATAAGAGCTAAATCACAAAGTAGGTTTTCTTCATTGCATTCATTTCTAGGCAGCTCATCTCAAAGGGAAAGAGCCAGTAACTAGTGGGAATTCTGAGAGCAGCTACAAAAACTTACTAGACTGCTGGAAGAAATGATTTATGAAGATTAAAAGATTTTTAAACATATGGTTTGACTGCAACTCTCACAGAAGAGCAAAAGGGACATATTTAATGCACTGAGGGCTGTTACAATGACAAAGCTGGAAACAAGGAGGCTTCCCCAGCTCACTGATGCTCTTGGATGCACTCACAGCCCAGAGTGGGGTCCCTGCCCACCTACTCAGACAGCTGGGGAAGCACAAGACAAAACCCAAATTTTCAGCAGGGCCCCCAGAGCCTGCACTTGCCAGGCTGTGATGTAGCTGATCTGGATGCCTTATCACGTCCAGTTTGTAAACATCAGCCCTATCCCAGACGTTTTATTAGCCTAAATCAAATATTGAACCTCCCTCAGCTGTTGGAGGACAGCTGCTGGCAAAGTGATTCACTGCCATATTCCTTCTAGGCCACAAGAAAATACAAACTAATCACCAGCAGCATGACAGATGCACGCGTTTTTAATTGTGAAGGAGAAATGAGGCTCTGAACTTATCCCCACATGTCACTTAATCACAGAGCTGGGGAGGAGCTGCAGAGAGCCCTGGCCTGGTGCCCGGCTGCCTGCTCTGCCCCTGCTCCCATTCCCCAGGCATTTGCCAGAAAAGACCTAAAAAAAAAAAAAAAAAACAGTGTTATGTTGTTTCTTGGAATGTATCTTCTGGGGAATGAGAGCTGGGTTTCTCAGTGCACATCTCTGGCCACATCCAGACAATGTGAGGGTTGGGGATGGGGTGGTGGCAATCCAGCACATGCTGGAGTCATTTTCCAGTCCCATCTCAGAGTTCTGCTCTGGGAAAAGCCCCGTGGGTAACGACAGGACAAGGGGGAATGGCTTCAAGCTGAAAAGAGTAGGGTTCAATCAGACATGAGGAAAACAACCTTCCCTGGGAGGGTGGGCAGGCCCTGGCACAGGGTGCCCCATCCCTGGCAGAGTCCCAGGCCAGGCTGGATGGATCCCTGAGCAACCCAAAGGTCCCTGCCCACACAAAGAGGATTGTTAAGGTCCCTTCCAACCCAACCATTCCATGATTCTCTGAGCAGATCAGCTCTGTGTTAGGGTCTTTTCCATTGATCACATCCACCGTGGTACCTCAGGAATCTCTCAGCAGGACAAAATTCTCTGTTGGATATTCAGGCTACTGAAAGTAGTTAACCTAAAGCTCAAAGGAAATTCTCTTCACTTAAGACACATGTTAAATTCCCACAGATCACTGAACATGAATAAACCTGATATGCAAATAGAGATACAAATACAGTGCAATTCACCCACTGAAGTCAGCACATTACCAGGTAAGGGAAAAATCAAGTAGCAAAGCAGGGGGAAAAAAATCCTCTTGAGTACTCAGTCAATTACTTTAAGCTTTCAAAAAAGGGTTTGTCAATTCCAAATATTCATCTTACATGACAACACAGTCTAATCTACTGTCAGTGGGTTGTCATCCTCCAAAGAGAATGGCAGGGAGAGAAGAACCTGTGCTCCAGCCTCACTGGGAACCTGCAGAAAGAGGAGCAGGAACAGTTTCCAAGGAGAGGAACCAACTCAGCTCCAAGGAGACATTTCTGAATTGTTTAACTTGCTTCCCTGCATCAATAATTTGTCTTCTGTACCTTCCAAAAGTCAGCCTTCACTGATAGCACTGGAGGAGGCTGGTCAGGGAGGGTTTAAGGAAGGAAACTGGAGCAGTGTGGTGGTGACAATACAGCTGTTAAACTGATTGCATGCCGAGCCCCCACTCCCCTCCCAGGGCTCATGGTGACCTGGCTGCCCTGAATGATGGGCAAGCAGCTCAAATGTGAGCCCCATTTGTAGGGAAAAATTAACTACTCAGTCTCTAATGAACAGTCTTTCTTTACACAATACCCTCTGCTCTACAAGCAATTAGCAAATCGAAGTGCTCACTTTGTGGACCTGCATTAATTTACTCCTCGATGTGACACATTAAATAGCTCATACGTAGAGCACAGCAGTGGCAACAGCCAGCACCATAAAATAAAAGCTTGCTTCAAAGATTTCAGGAAGCAAAATTAGGTGTGCTGCATACAAGGAATAAATCAAAACAACCTTCATTTGCAAACATCATTTTGGTCTTATGCTTTCATCAAAAAACATGATTATCGTAACAGTCACATTAATACAACATTGGTACTCTACAAAGGAGAGAAACAAGCTGCACATTCACTGCCTCAAATTAGAAAGAATAAAAATTGCTCTTTCTCATCAGGGGAAATACCTGAGAACATACACAGCTGCCTATTCTGGGGTTGTGCTTTCACAGCTAGAAATCCCAAGTGTGAGTCCCCAGAAGGAAGGCCACTCATTGGAAGGGCAACACCTCGGCAGGAAAGGAGAGGAGGAAGAGGCTTTGCCTGGCAGAGCTGGAACACAGCTGCAAAAAATGGCATTTTTACAGCTCACTGAAGCCCAAGACACCCTTAGAAGTAT